TAAATACATATTTTTATAATTAATTTTTATTGAAAGTATAAATGTTGACTTTGATTTAATTAATTAATTAATTAATTAAAATAATTCATGTATTACTGATATTAAAATGTATGTCCACTTTTACAATTTTTATTGTGAATTAATTATAAAAAGATGTATTTATTGCATTCTTAATCTATGTTTTAAAGTATATATTGATGTTAGACAAATTCTTTTTTTAAAATCGAAACTGATATATATTATTTCTTATATATATAATATATATAATATTTAAATATAAGTAAAGTATAGAGACCAAGTATGCAAGTATGAACTCTCATTCTCGGTATTTGACTCAATACTTGATAGGCATGCAATTTTTATACCTATTATGTACCTACCTCTTTTCAAGTTCTGGTAAAATAATTAGCTGAATAGATTAAGTACCCAAAGGTATCAGATACATTAATGCCAGATGCTTACCTTAATTTGCTTACTTTGACTTTTTCGGCCCAGGTTCATCCGTTACCCAAAAGAAACATTTGGGCCCATAACCCTTACCATTATCCATTTCTCCTCCATCTCGGTCACCAGCCGGCCGGCGACCGACAAAGGAGAGCCGCTAAAGAACCTCGCGGCTTTCCGCCTAACATTTCTCCGAGAACGAAGAGAAAGTACTATATTGTATCCGATTCTTCCGGTTTCACAAGTATCGTCCACAAATCGGTTCCGGTGCTAAAAACACTGCTCATTTCCATATCTGATTCATGCTCTCGTTTCTATAGAGTAATTTTTTCACAAACAGAAGGTTCAATTTGATGTTAATTTCCCCTGATTCTGCTGCTTCAATTTGAACAGAAAAAATTCAGAGGCGGTGTGCACGGTTGTAGCTAATGGAGATGGGAAGCATCATTTCTTGCTTGTGATGTGTATGATACAGCATTAGATTTTGTGTTCATTTTATTTATTTTTTTTCTTTTACTTCAATCTTACACATTGTACTCTTATCTAGGGAAGGCTATTGTTTCAATAGTTACTTGTGAAAAAGATTTTTCCTTGGAACTGATGGTGCACCCCATGAGAGACAAGGAAAAGAATGTCCTTGTCATTGCGCTGGTATTTACAATGCCCCTGTTGTCTTAGCTCTATATGCAAAGGTCTTTAAAGAGGCATATTTCTTCATTATCCTATCATGTCTTTCTTCTTGTTGTTTCATGGAAAGCTGCAATGAATTGTGAATATCAGATAATAGATCATTGGTCCATAAAAGTTTTTTGATATACTCTTAAAATGGGAATAGATGCATTTGTTGGTGGTTGACCACCAAATGGTAGCTAAATTTGTGCTTAAAAGATTGAAATAAAATGGGAGACTGCATTGTTATTTTGTCCTTGGAAGCAAATTACTTCAGTATATTCTCATTTGTGGAAGCTGATATATAGTCTGTAAGAAGAAAAAAATTCTATGGATCTTAGGTTTCAACCCTTCTATATATTGTTTCCAATGGTTATTATGAGATAAATTCTACAGTATCGCGAAAATATGTTAGATCAAAAGGAAATCTTAATCTACACTTCTTTCATGTAACTTGGTCTATCATCAAAAGTACAACTTCAAATTTGTCAAAACATAAAGAAAAAAGAAAAATAGAAAGTAAATATAGTACAAACGAAAGGGTATGCTCAAGCATCAAATAAAACTTTATATTCTACAACCAAGGAACTTGTTTTTAATTGCACACAATTCTGCAGCTGACTTCTTTCATCTCCATTCTTACATTTGGTGACTCATTGAGCAGAGGACTCCTACCTTTGCCATTGTGGCCAGGCTCTCCAAAATACCAACTTCCGTTCCTAGATTCCTTGCTCCTGAATGTTCATCATTTCGCACATCCCGTTGCAATGAAGGATCTAAAATATCCATTACTCTTTCAGGTAGTGCTGCTTTAGCAAACTAGTGAATGGTGAAATTGTCTTTGAACAATGAATCTGTTGGTTGTTTTCCTATAACCAACTCCAAAAAGAGAATTCCAAAGTTGTATGCATCTCTTGGCTTGGTTGTCTTGTTTACCATGCCATATTCTACATTAGTAAGGGAAAATCGAGTGATATTAATTGTTGATTTACCATCTTAGTAAGAAAAAGGCTGGTATAACTATAAATGCCAATACAAAGAAAAAATAAAAAAGATTGAAATAAACAACAATAACTAAAACAGTTACCCAGAGCTATGTAGCCAATAGTCCCTTTTGCACCAATGGAACTACTTTGTTGACAAGAAATGGATAGAAATCTTGCAAGATCAATATCTCCCACGTGAGCAACGAGGTCCTCATCAAGTAAAACATTGCTTGGCTTAAGGTCTCTATGAACAATGGATGGTTGGCAGTGGTCAAGAAGATATTCAATTGCAAAAGCCACTTCAATTGCTATATGAAGTCTTTGAATGAGGTTAAACTATGCTCACAAGCTTGGTCTTCATCTGGACGCAACCACTCCTCTAAGCTTCCATTTTTCATGAGTTTGTAGACTAAAGCCTTGAAATCACTCCGTTGGAAGTCTATACTTGAGCAAATAGTTATAGTCTTGACTAAATTTTGATGTTGAATATTTCTCACCATTTCACACTCAACCATAAAACTTTTGGAAGCTCCTTTCTGCTTGAGGTTCACCTCACTTTCACTGCCATTGAAATTTGATCTTGTTTCGGCAGCTTCACGACCCAACACTGTTGAAGTCTTCAACTGCTTCTACACCTGAAAATCCCGAGGTTGTTTCCTCGGGGAAAACACTCTGACGCTCAAGTCAGCAATACTCAGTATTCTAGAGAGAGATGCTCTCAAGGAGTAATTGCAGAGAGAGAAGCGTAGAGATTAATTACCTTCTTCGGAGGTGGTTGGGGGGTATTTATACCCCCAAGTGCTGACATGTATCTGCACATGTAAGCCTCTCATTGGCCCACGTGGTGTTGCCCACGTGGGTATGTCTCCTCCTCTTGGGCCTGTGGGTGCGTAGTTGGGCCTGTTGTATGTGGCCCTAAGAGGGCGTTGGGCCCAATCCCAACATTACTCCCCCCTCGGTGTTCGGTTGACGAACTGGGTTGGGAGTCTTGTTAGCACGGTGTTTGACCTTGAGGATGAGGAGTGATGTTTTATGTTCATGTCCGCCCTCACGCACGACCGATCTAGGCGGCCTGAAGCCATCGCGGCCAAGTCTGTTGTGCATGTATATGCCGGCTTCCAATCGAGCAGGCGTGGGGAGCTGGTGTTAAAACCAGGCGAAATGCATGACACAGAGTCATGTGTTGTAGCTGTAGCTGAAGTGAAATAGATGACTCGGGGTCACTATGGCCGGAGCCGAGGCATTATGACCTAGAGCCGGAAACTGAGGTGACGACCTGAAACTGGAAGCTCAGGAGTGACGACCTGGAAGCAGGAAGCTCATTAGTGACTATGATCACGAGGTGAGGCAACGTGATCTCATATTCCATGTGACTTGAGTTTTTTGATCACCACTTTACCAGCCCGCACTAGTGGTGCTGACAAATAGGGCGACCTGGGTCACCCATTGATTTATGCGAAGGTTGAGGGCCTGTATATAAGCTGCAATTCGTGTGACGCTCTGACAAATGCGTTTGTCAGCTCGATGTGTAACGAGCTGAATCATGGGATTTTAGCAAAAAATCTACACTTTTGAACGAATTGTCACGGGTGGGCCGATCTGGCATAACGTCATGTTTGTCACGACCTGGTAGGTGTGCTCGCCACGGCGAGCTGATGTGACAGTAGCAGGTACACATCAGCAGTGACGATCTGAACCTTGGATTTTTTGAATCAATCAGATCTCTGAGAAGATACGGTTGATCTCCCCGTATCCCTTTGTCTTCCCCGTCATAAATGCTGGCTCAGCATTTGAGGGACGTGACAGCTAAAGCCGGCGCACATTATGCAGAAGGGACGTTAAGCGTGTGCCACGTGTATGAAGCAAATTGGCGCGTCAGAAACACGCGTACGGCAATTAAACACTACCATATCCTTCTCTACGTAACCGTTTCCTCTTTCATTTTCATTTCTGTGTTTGCTTAAGTTTCCTAAAATTCTCTGAAGCAGGACCGCTCCATCTTGAAGAACCAGCACATCGAATCAACTTCACGTTCAATTTCAGGTAAAAATGGTTTCATTAAGAGAACTCACAGAGCAACGAGGTAACCAGGGCAGAGAAGGAGAGGAGGAAGGGGTTTTAGCCGTGGAGCCTATCACTATGATAGTACCACCGGAGTTGCAGGATGTACCGGAAACAGTGGCGTCTGAGAGCAGCGCCAGTTCCCGCGCCGGAGACGACTGTGACGAGCACCCTAGTGCACCGTCAAGCAGCTCGTCTACGGAAGAGACACCCAGCCGAGATGAGGGGGTGGGGGATTTGGTGAGCAGTGTCTCAGATCGGCCGGTTATTGGGGAATGGGAAGGTGCGACGATCCCGGGCAGGTTGAGTAACCTACGGAAAGCACCGAAGGATCTGCCCGCTGGATTCAGGTTCAGGGCTGCACTTCATCATGAAGTGGCAGATTGTACGCCCTCCATAAGTGGGTATAAACGACTGGAGGAGATGGTGAGGGCGTACCACATCCCCAGGACCATACTGCTGCGGACAGGCGGGCCGAACGAAAGGGCGTGCACTGTGTCGCGAACAGGCTGGATCCTAGTGTATGCGGACCACTTTGACGCCGGCCTGCGGTTTCCCCTACCCGGCCTGGTATTCGATCTGCTCGCGGAGTACGAGCTGGCGCTAACGCAGCTAACGCCCAACAGCATAAGGTTCATCATGGGCTTTATGCTGTTGTGCGCAAGATTGGAGGTGCCAGCTAAAGCGATAGTGTTCAGGTCATTATTCCAGTGCCGACTGTGCCCGAACTCACAAGGAGCGAGGTGGTACTACCTCTCTGGGAGGGATAAGAGCCAATTGTTCAAGAATGTCCGGAACAAAGTGGCGAGATGGAAGAGGCAGTTCGTATTTGTTCGCGACACGCGGACAGAAAGGATAAGCAACGACCTCGCTGCTCGGCTGTCAGAATGGCGAACTCCGAACGCCCACATCAACTACCCCCAGCTGCTGCCCCGGGATGTCGACCTGAAGAACCAGCTGCTTCAGTATGCACAGGGGGAGGGTCTTATAGATTTAGAAGCCCTGGTTACCTCGGAGCAGCTCGCCGTGTTCGGGTTTGTCGATGGGACAAACCTGTTCAACGAAGGTATATTTTCATTATATAACATGGATTATAGCCGAGCTGAGGCTTATGCAATTGTTTGTGCAGGTGAAATGAGCAGCATTTTGGAACGTCAGCGCCAACGTGCCCAGAGCTCCCGAGGCCGTGGGGCGAGCAGCGCGCAGCCCCGGCAAACACGGTTTGACGAGCGGCCACCCCCAGCGCCTC